CCTTCAGACGGTTTCAGCCTATTTCATCTGTAACTGAGGGGCGGTCTCTTTACTATGTCTTTTAGGATGCCTACAGAGTTGAAGTCCACCGAATGATCGATTTGTCCCAGTGCTATCGAACAATTCTCAATATTAGTTGCTAGCTTGGACTGGGTTTTCGAGTCGTTGTATTTTACCCCAGAACTTCCGATTAACTCCTCTAACAAGTCCCTCCTAATTTCATGCGTCCATTCGAACAATCGTTCCAAAATATTATATACCAAGATAACCAGAATATGATGGAAACATGATGAACTACTCCGTGGCTTCTCAAGCCTTTCCTTAAGCTAATTTATCGAGGACAGAAGCCTCTGCCTGTTGTCTACGTTAATAACAACACACATTCCAAACCGTCTGAAGAATTTACAATAATCTGATGACTGATTATCTAAAGTGGCCTGTTCCATTATTGGAAGCTCTAAGCCCACAAAACAAAATGAAAAGGTGACTCCTGTAGAATCTATTTTGAAGGTTTTGTTTTCGGAAAATCCCTCCATGTATATATATATTTGTGTTATGATATGACTGACTCTTTCTGTTGATATTTTGGTACTCTATTTGATTCCATTTTGAGATTTTTATCATGGTATATTGTTATTATTTCTATATTTTGTGCTTATATTGAAGTTTTTATGCTTCCTTCTGAACTATACATATGTTGTTTAAGTCTGATATTTAATATGGCTACAGCCATTTTTGGATTGATACTCTAGCAGTAACGGACTGGAAGTACTTATTCTTCCAGAAACGGAACCCATTGTGGTAATTGGAAACTCGAAGGTGTAATATTGTTTTTGGTAATTGTCTGTATTTCCCTCTTTAATATAAATAAAACCGTTTTCTCCCAGAATTATCGTTTTTGTTCCCGGACTGGGTGAGACGCGTATGAACCTGCATTTTTCGAGTTTGGAGCGAACTTGAAGAATGACAATTCCGTTATAACTCCTTTTACCTGTTTTTCGAAATGACCGAAATTTTTCGGCTTTTCCAGAGTCTTCTGATTTCCAAGATCATAGTTAGAATGGCTAACAGGGCAGCGGTAAGATTGCAGTTGTTTATCATCATATTTGGAAACAGAAGATACTTCATTACTCTTTTAGCGTTAACGAACCAAACTCTTTCATAGATGTAACACTTCTTTTTTCTCTCTCTCTTTCTAATGCCAACTTGCTCAACTAATATTAGAGCCATCATTTGAAAATCCATCGATAGGGACTTGTCGCATATCCAGAGCTACTGCTGCCATCATCCTTCCTTCGTTCAACATTGCGTTTATGAAAGACTTCTTAGGATGCTTACTGGGCGTTTCAGGAGTTTCGTTTAAGAACTGTAACGACCGGACCACCAGAATTTTATCCGACTTACTTACTAACGCCTATTTGCCTCAATGGAGCATAGGCCGACGACCAGTGTTCTCCAAACTACTTTTTCCTGGGCCTCCCTTTCATCCAAATGCATAGCTAAAAAATCAGAATTGGTTCTATTAGGAGAAGCTACATCTTCTTGTATGGTAAACAAAGCGTTTTGAGTGACTCATATTTAATTATAGCAGTGTACAAACTCTGTGCTAAATTTGAACATCATATCGAAAACACAAAATATTTGAAACGGCACCGCCTATTCTATACAGTCAAAGGTCAATAAGCAGCTCTGTCTTGGCAAACTTGATTGACACTGGTCACAGAATAAGTGAAACTGAATAATTCCGAGTGATCCATCATATGCCTCCAGCACTGTTTTCACATTCTGTAGTAAATTGTAACTTTCCGCCTCTTTCCGTTTATATTGTTTTCTAATTAATTATTCACACACTTCCTATTATGTAATGGTTTTGTTGTTTTGTGATGATTAATTTAAGTCTACTTATCCACGTTTGACCTACAATTTCCACTTTTTAACTATCGATAAAAAATTTCGTTATCCTATTTTATTATTCTTTCTACTACCAGTACACCTATCTTCTACTGTCAACTTGTGCTTTTACCTGTTATTTGTAATGAAGTAATCTATTTCATTGTGATTATTGACTCGAATCGCCTGGTGGCGATCGAAATTGGAACAGTATTGTTCGCTTATTTGTGTTATTTGTAGTCGGGTGAAAATAAGCTAGACATGTGATAAGCGAAGTAAGCAGTGAACAATTACACGCTCAGGTTGAAAGTTAATAACTTACACAGCTGAACGACGTGTGAATAATGCCTCCGGAAAAATGGGTCAATTAGTCTTTCTAAAGGCTGGGACAAGTCATTTTAGAGCATTATATTATTGAACACTACAAATGATCTTCTGCCGAAAATCATATAAAGCCAGCATCTGTTACTAAGTACTCATGGACAGATTGCTACATGAAGCACTATTATCCCAGAGTATCCCACACCTGTTCCCTTCACACTTCTTATACACCAGGTCGACATTATGAAGATCCAGTAACTCGTTTGAGGAAGCAAACATTAACAGTGTGAGTGCATGTGATATAAATATTTACATGTGCCAAAATCAGTATAGTTATATAATGACTTCATTCATATATCTCAACTAAACTATATCTAAATAGTGAACGAAATTACCCAGTTAATAAACGTGAAAATGCACATAAGTATGGAGCCGTAACAAGTTATATGAATTGGTGAATTATTAGCATAAAAATGGCTCAGCATGCTGTCCGACAGTAGTCACTTTGTAATGACTATAAATATACTAACTATTTCCGCTACACAAACACTGTTCAGGCAAATATCCGTAATCATTCTCCAGTGGATAAACCCTGGTTTATTAAATCGCCAACTAGTAACTGTTTGGTACACACTCTAATTGTAAATCCTTGTTGGAAATTTCGATGTCTCACTGATCATGCCTGTAAAAGTAGCACGTCACTGATATGCCAGAAATATATCAGTATGGTTATCGTTATTACTAGATGCTGGCAAGAAGAGTAAGGAGTTTACAGTATGAAATACGGAAGCCGCTTTAGGTTCGATACGAAGTTATATGAATGGTCTTCGTGCCTGTCACACAAATGCCCGAGGTTTGCTCAATACGCTTTCAGAGCAAGAAGTAAAGATAGACTTTACCTAGCTGCATGTAGTCGCTTTCATTGAAACTTCACTGACCAAGTCTGTGGACAAGAGAGAACTTGATGCTGAAAATTTTGCATTAGCTGAAGTTAAGAAAACCCGGAAGCGTATAAGCGAAGGAAAAGCTTTGTTCATTACTACCATCCCATATACCGTTATCGATATCATATCCCATGAAAGTGGAAACTGCGAACTAGTTAGTTGCCACTAACAATGTAAAGCACGAGAGTAGGTGACTAATTCGGTTCATAGATATCAAAAATATGAGGTGAATGAGGTCTTGCTAGATTAATTCGACACTTATTCTCTAAGTATTGGATATCTAATTGTAGAGATATCCTTCCCTTCAGTTCATTCAAACCCCTCGATAATGGAAAGAAAACTGAAAGCCTCTTCCAAATGTTTTAAAAACAAGTGGTTATTTCTTTGCTCTTCGACCCTACTTCTCATTAAACTATTTTTCAGAACACTTATAGTTATGATCATTGTTTCTCTGTCATTACCATTGGATTTCGAACAATGGTTATTTTATTACTCTAATTCCTGTTAATAGCCGTATCCGAAGTCTTAGCATGAAGGTGATTCCTAGTATAATACAAATAATTCCAATTTATTTAGAACGTTGATGAGACACAGGGAAGAACTCAGATTAAATTCGCACTGAACTGTTGCATCAAACTTAAACCATGAAAACATTTTAACTGTGTAATAGACGTATTCATCACCTAAAACATGGTATTTTGTAATTTTGATACGATTTGTTCTTTCCGTAATGTAGAACTGTCTAAACCAAACAAAGAATTTATGTTTTAGTCTATAATTTTGGGAGGTTGCTGTATCAGTATTCAGACGAAAACTCGATTCTTTATCTGAAAAACAGCGTGAATTTTCAAAAACTTATTGGTAGCCCTTGAAAGTTGGTGTAGATTTAGCCTTCACTGATTTCAGTAGGACTTTTGATAAAAGCATTCGAAAAGAGCTGTTATTTAGGTTAAGCGAAAGTGAGGTTGGAGGCAACTTACTGATGTGGATTAAAGATTTCCTAACTGCGTGTCAGCAAAGAGTATGTGGTTAATCCAGGTTGTCTGGTCAGGGAACCAGGCTTAGCGGTTCGCCTCAGAGTAGAATATTAAGGTATTTTTGCTCCTTCCACACGAAGGTGACCTTCCTAGTGTCTTATTTTCACTGGTTTTGTTATATGCTGACGAAACAAGGATAAAGAGAACGATAAAAAATGAAGTTGACAGTCAGTAGTTCTAAAATATCACATAAAAGCACCAGATACTGCCTAAAAGAAGACAACTGGCAGTTGAAAAATGTTCACAGAACCCCAAAATAAACTGAAGAAGAGGATTTACCAGAAAATACTAGAAATGTTCACACGACTAGAACGAATTGCTCCCCAACTGACTATCGACTTTCTCATCGAATCATCAGAGAATGGATCACACTACCCAAACACACGATTGAAGCTCCGTCCATCGATGCATTTACGCGAAAGGTTGAATAACAGGGAAAACAAAATTGCAAGGATAATAACAGGCCTTCAAGCCTCCCTTCTTTTTGAAAGTGAAACTGGAACCTAAGACTCTCTTATCCTATAGTATATTCACGAAATGAAGACGAAAACCCTGAAGCCGCACCGGGAGATTAAGAGTTGATGGCAAATATATCAACTCGTTTATACTAGGTCGTGAAAAAGACATTGGATATTGTACATTACGTTAGTATGAAATCCCATCCACTCATAATAAATCCTTCTTAATGCTACTAGATCACTATATCAGCTTATAAGGCTATTCAAAATGTACACATTGCGAAGTGTATTTTTTGTTATAGTTTCTCATTATTCGCAAAACACAGCTGTTTCTCAAGGACGAACTTAGAATGACGTATGTCACAAGTTCAGGTTCGTCTCACTTTTCTTTCCTAAACTGTTATGCACGTCCAAATTTTTAAGCAGAGTTAATACACAGATTAGAGTCCGAAATCTCCCAGCTTGTGAATTTATATACGGATATTACGCTTTTGAAATAGCGTTTTGATGTTTGAAACATCTCAACCTAACGACTGGCGAAAATTGATAAATAAATTAGGGTTTTCCCTGAAGTCGTCCCCACTCAAAGTTTGGGGATCAGGATGAATAGAATTAGTAAATTTATTGCCAGTTTAGGTGGTAAGTAGACAACCTGAAGAACACCCAGGCGCATATTTTTGTTATTTTGGCCCTTTAAGAGACTTTGGTGCCTGACTATGCACCAAATTTCCGAAACGGTGTTCTTTGTAATCTTTCAAAGCATGCATTCCCTTATACTTGTTTGGTTGGGCAGGTCCAGCATCATTTATGTTCGATCAAGTTATTCAACAGTACTTTAAGACTTCGAGAGTATCCATATCTCCTGAGAAAACTGTTTTGTGATTCTAAACTCAAATATCTCATGTGATGCACCTCTAATAGATATCCCAACATCGTTAAATTTTTCGCGTATAAAAATACATCTCCAAGAACAAAATCCATAGGATGATCAAACGATAAGTATTGAATGTAAATGGTTTTTGCTTAGGTATGACTGACTTAGTTTCTCATTTACAACCAGGTTGTTTTATAGTCTTGCCAGACAGCAAAGTGAGAATTTAGTCGGATGGCTGTCTGGATCAACTGACTTGTCTTAAACTAGTATACAGTAACATCATGTATAGATTTCTTTATCCTCCTTTATATAGGTTTCTTCAATGTATTATGCCGACCAGCACTCCATATGGAGCTAGTTGGTGCCTGTTGGACAGCAGTTTTTGTATAGATTTATGTACTTAGTTAAGAAGTAAGTGACAAGGCATACCAGTTTTTACAGCAACATGAAAGAAAGCTAGGGGTGGCCAAACCGAAACATGGCACAAATCTATGAAATCACTGACACGTGGACTGAATCATGTTGGTTGGTGCAGGCTATCTGGTTGGGGTCCGCGAGACGAAAGTAACCAATGGTTAGAGACCCTAAATGACATGGCTTAAAACCGTTTGCAATGGCGAAGGTGCATTCATTGTGTTCTTTCAAATCCTAACCCTTGGAGTTCTTCACCACCTATATCTTCCTAAAGTTTATTTCACTAGATTCCACTTCTTGAATAATATCTTCGGACCCTAATCTCTCCGATTACTGCTAATATTTTTATTACGTCTACTACTATAGGAGTTGAAGTGACAATTGCGTCTGTGTTAATGTGGCATGGCAACCTGAACTGATGTATATACGTACGAAGTGGTATGAGGTAAGACGACTCATCACTGAATTGGATACATCATGATGATATTCTTTTTCGTGATGATTATCGTAAACTCTTATATGTGGACTTGAAAACTAAGTGCTCAAACTCTAACAGTCATTCAGTCATTCAGTTGCAATGGCCATGTTTCACTGCCATAAAATAGGACGGAGCGGACTGATGTGCAGTACACTCGTCCTTTGGTTAGCAAACGGATATCTCGCCTACACCTGAAAAGTCAAACCAAGATAATGTTATCTCAAAAACATGTCTATAACAAAGTTGAATAAGAATGGGATTACGCCTAGTTAGCGAATTCTACCTAAGATAAAACTGGTGGTAGAGATAAAAGAGGTTGTAGGAAGGATTTGATTGTGACCAATTTGGTTTCGTGTGTTGTTACGTGTATGCGGACAGATGTCACTTCCCGGCCACCTTCACCGTGGAAGGATTAATACAGGTGGTAATAATGTGACGGCCGAAAAGATTAGGCATCGTGGATACGATCCGAGAAGAGAATATCAATTTATACACACATATACTCAGTTATGTTATTTGTTTTAAAAACAATATTTCTTTGCAATTTTAGGTGACATTGTTGATAGGCAACCATGGGGTATAAGGTACTTCAAGCAATTGCTTCTTAATATTTTCACCGTCATTTATCTATTGTAAGTCAAGATTTTTCATTCATTAACCTATTTTTGGTAGTATTCAAACACTCTTACCTCTAGACGTAAGTTCCTACCATTTAAAGTAACTGATTACGTGTAGCTTTTTCGCTCGAGATCATCTAATCAAAGGAATTTTTGGGATGGGAGGTTAGTTACGCAAATTCTTATTAACCAAGTTACTACGTTACAGACCACCTCGGCCACCTGGAAGACGTTTCGGTGGATTTGGAGGCTGTGGAGGTAATGGTCTGCCTAGCAGTTCTATCAAATTTATATTCGATTTGCTAGCTCCGTATTCTGTAGCCCTCATTTGGATATACCTAAACTCGTTTATATCTATCATTAACATCTTACACTTCTGAAGTAACCTAAAGCGCATAACTATCAAGGGATGTGACAGTACCTACTAGGACTGTTGAAAAGTTTCCTATAAAAACATTCTGCTATGTCCGGATGAAGATTAAATTAAGTAGTAACTTAACAACCCGGTTTACGGATAATTGTTGTATACACTGTAATCATACTATTCTTGACTAACTCAATAACTGTAGTTATATGACTTATTATTCTTAGTTTATTGTTAGTTTACTATTTGTAGTCTCCCCCATTGACAGCTACTTTTGGCTCACTCATGTACAACTGTTAATTTCCATTTACTGGTACAATTCTTTCTGGTTTTTTATGTTTATGAGTGAATGTCTGAAATATAGTAGCGAATCTTGGACTGGTGGTCACTGGTCTTCGTTTTTCCTATTTGGTTCATGCAAGTTAGTATAGAGCCGTTCTTCCAGCATGAGGTAGCAAGTCTCTCATCCTTGTTGCATATTGGTTTATCAGAGGTCGTTTGTGTATTGGTTAGTGTAAAAGTCAGTACAGAGTCAAATATAGTTTTAGTGCTTCATTGGGAACGCCTAGATGAGTGACTTTTGTTGTCTTAGCAAGAAGTACTTATCAATGAAATACTTATGCAATGTATAAAAACACTGAACGTTATAACTCTAATTGAAAAAAACTTATGGAAGTGTATGTCATTAAGTTGTGTTTTAAACTTTTACAGTTCTACTTCAGATGCACAAATCTGCTATACTGCTCACAAGATATGCAATAATTGAATTTTTTTAAACTATATCTATGGTTTAGTGAAGGATCACTTGTAGTAGTAAACTGTTTCTTTCTCGTTTGTTGTGTGGCTGATTAGTAAGCACTATAAATGGAAATTGATCAGAAAACCGATGAGAATGATCGTTAATCTGGATACTAAACTTTTGACTGTTGGTTAGGATGACTGAAAAACAATTGTTGTAACATAACTAGATTTCTTTTATCTATATTCTGGCTACTTGACAGTTAGTGCCCGCCTTTCATTTCTCTTGCACACATTTCTTTTAGTTCATCCAATTATTTTCACCCTTCTTGTTATAATCATCGTGTTAATTTCCTCTCAATATACTTATTTAAAATACGACACCTTTAACTGATACTGGTGTGAGCTACTTATAAGCAGTGTATGACGTGAGTGTCAACGTAATGTCTGGCAGCAGAAGATGGGGGAAGATCAAGAAAGGAAGAGTTAGAATACAATGGAATTTGTTTGAAACGCATGAATAGTGACAATGGATTGATGTTTTGCAACAGGAACAGTCCAGTTCGATATGATGAACTGATATTTTGCAAATTAACGATTTACGATATGGTTTTCCTATTTTACTGAGTAACTCTGTAATTTTCGTTAAATACAATTCGGTTGCCCTCACCTGTGTTCTCCTTCACTACAATACGTTTTGCATTAAGCTTCATGTTCTCTCTATTCATCGCTTGTTCCAATACCAACCCACCTGTAGAAGTATATAAAGTTAGTTAAAGGGAATAACTCTCATATAACAGGTGTAGTGCATTATCTAGTACGCAGACCTGTATGTGAAATGTCTTATCTTTGGGTAGTCTTTACTAAATGCCGAATTCAGTTAACTTCCTGACATTGTTAAGGTTGTAAACAAGCCATTAAATTCATTGTTACTGAAATTGTAGTTCCCTATTGATTTTCTCAGTAAAACACTGATTAGTGTTTTACTAGTATTTGAACTTCTTGTCAGCTTTCTTCAATGCTGTCTAATCTGGGTTGTATTTATTTGTGGTTATCAATGGAATCTAGAAAGCTTCTTCCTTATATTCCGAATTAATTATGAACAGTAATGTTTGTTTAATCAATTAAGATAACCGATCGATCCTTTCTTAATAATTAAATGGTTGATGTGATGATTCTATAAACTATTTTTGTTTGTTTTCTGTACGTAGTTTATGTTTTCTTTCATTTTTCGTTTTAGCTGCTCCAGGTGCTCCACCAATGGCTGGTGGAGGATGAGGTTAAACAGTCTTTGGAATTAATCATCAATAAAAAAATTCCAAAGACTGAATCAAATTACTTATTGTCAAACATTTGAATCCCGTTTGTGTGTATGACGGTTGTTTGGAAAATCTCATCAACAGATCTAAACAACTTAATGATCAAACGGGAATTCATATGCCTAAAATATTAGTTTCTGTATAAAAAAGCCTTTATCAATCAACCTTATTATTACTTTTACAAACAACAGCTTTTTTATGTTCCAGAAAATTTTTATATTTCTTGTTTGTTTATACAGTTGTTAATTTATCACTAGCTCAAAATAAATTCTTATTTCAAAGGGACTACTAATTTTTAAACCGTTTGATGAGTGACAGTTTTATGTTCAAAATGTTGTTTATTTCCAAAGAATAGAAGCCTCATTTTCAATTAAATAGATGTACTTTGTTTAACCCAAGTCGTGTCAGTTGCTGAATGAGTATAATTGTTCATATTACTAGTTTTTCTAGTTTCGTATCGGTTTAATATCTGCCGATCAGGTGGTCACGCCGCTGTTAAAGCAATAGGCTCTCAACCGGTAGATTCGAAATTCGATGTACACACTTCACGTACTTCGTTTGCCCAACTGCCTAGTATTCTTAATTTATGTAAATCGATTATATTTTAATAGCTAATGAAATAAATCGGTACTCGACAAGTTACTATTCGTCGAGACTGCATCCATTTGGAAAGTCAAAGAATTTTGATTTCTTATTTGAAAATATGGAACGGTATTTCGTTTTAGTCTATAAACTACCATGGTGTAGTATAATTAGTTATCTGAAATAGGCGTTCTTCGTATACAACACCGAACCCCGATCAATTTGTGTAATTTTCAGTCTTCTTTATATTCAAACATCCCAGTGGTAGACATCAAGCTCAACATGAGATCTGCTGATGTATTCACTAAATAAGTTCTAAATAGTAGGTATGAAATTTCCAAATTTTCATTCTTTGTACCGTTTACGTGTAAAATATTGGCTGTATATCATTATTTTCACATAAACTACAATTAAAAAAATTCAATAGACATCATTTTATTCAGAAGCCAAGAGGAATTATTCAATTACAGTTATGGAAATTGTTGTTTAATACTGAAGTTATGAATCAACCGTTGTTAGACCACCATTAGAAACTTGGAAGCACTGGATGGCCATTTCGTCCTGGTATGGGGCTCATCAGCATCATCATCTATCGGCACTATTAATAGCTGTTCTTCACTACACAATCTGAACTTAATAGTGAACTGAAGCCTAATCATAATTAGTAATCACTATACGATTACCCTTTAACAGACTTCTCCAAATACTACTGCCCCAGCCCTCAATCGTTAAGAAGACAAGGCCAACTCTACAACTGCGATATATATATATACCACTTTTTTATATACAGATATATTTTACAGTGATAATTAATTAGATCTAAACAATTAGGACATAAATCGATGTCATACTGAAGAAATAAATAACAGACATTGTTAGAATACGATTAACTTTCGTAGAGAACAATCATCATATTTAGCTAATCGAAAACGTGAATAAAACCGAGAAACGGTCATCGTCATTATTTTGCTGCAATAAATCATCGAAACAGATATAATTTTTCAGAGATTACTTTTGACTAATTCCGAATATATAGCACTAAAAGCGCTTTTCTTGTTAGTTGTAGTAATTTTATGTGACTTGAAGTTATACTTCTGCTTCCGTTTGCTTTGATACTTACCCTTTGATCTCTTGTTCCACTCATCTGACCAGAGGCTGTTGCCACGTTTGCGGTTCGTTATAATATTTCGACGTTTTTGTTTCGTCTCATTATGCGAGGGTTTTGTGGTGTTTAATTGATAAGAAAAGGTTTTACGATCTTTGTAATACGTGTCTGCATATGCACCCACGAGATAAGGCAAAGCATAATTATCATAATTAACTTTCCCTAAGGACTCGTGGTGACGTCTTGATAGTGAATGCCATGAGGATTTATGAATCTTGCGCTCCAAAACGAGAAAATTGCTATAGGATTTTCCTTGTAAGTATTCACGTGAAACCCCCGGAGAAGTTGATGGAGAGTACACATTATAACCATAGAGTCTGTTAGCAGATGGATAAATCATTTCACCAGAAGGTGATTGATCAATGCTTTCAATCAATGGGCTTGATGAGTTACTGTTTGTTTTAGGATGTTCACCTTCATATCTTAAAGTTGGGCCAGGTGGAGGTGTGTATTGATTCGGAACATACTGTGAGATTTGAGGTTGATAAATCTGATAATTATATGTTGATGGAGGATTGCCTTGAGTTGGTGAGTTTGACAGGCCACTGAATGTGTTTCGTTGTGAAGTTTCATATGTGTTAGTCGAACCCGGTGGAGGTGCGTATTGATTCGGAACATACTGTGAGATTTGAGGTTGATAAATCTGATAATTATATGTTGATGGAGGATTGCCTTGAGTTGGTGAGTTTGACAGGCCACTGAATGTGTTTCTTTGTGAAGTTTCATATGTGTTAGTCGAACCCGGTGGAGGTGCGTATTGATTCGGAACATACTGTGAGATTTGAGGTTGATAAATCTGATAATTATATGTTGATGGAGGATTGCCTTGAGTTGGTGAGTTTGACAGGCCACTGAATGTGTTTCGTTGTGAAGTTTCATATGTGTTAGTCGAACCCGGTGGAGGTGCGTATTGATTCGGAACATACTGTGAGATTTGAGGTTGATAAATCTGATAATCATATGTTGATGGAGGATTGCCTCGAGTTGGTGAGTTTGACAGGCCACTGAATGTGTTTCGTTGTGAAGTTTCATATGTGTTAGTCGAACCCGGTGGAGGTGCGTATTGATTCGGAACATACTGTGAGATTTGAGGTTGATAAATCTGATAATCATATGTTGATGGAGGATTGCCTCGAGTTGGTGAGTTTGACAGGCCACTGAATGTGTTTCTTTGTGAAGTTTCATATGTGTTAGTCGAACCCGGTGGAGGTGCGTATTGATTTGGTTCATAGTGTTGGATTTCCGAATTATTTATTGCTGGTTTTGTAATTACGGTATTAAGTCGGTTATCATAAAGTTCGACGAATCGATATGGATGTTCATGGTTTTCATTTTCCATTGTAACTCTTCTAGTCTGCTGATATTGACTTCCTCTAATATGTTCTTTATAGAAATTCTGCGGGTGTATTCCCTTCCAATAATCGTCATAATGCTTCTGTGTTGCATTATCCTTTTTGATATAATGATATTTCCCATAATATCTATTATGTCTGTCCCATGTTATGTTCATTTGTGACACATTTTGACCCCTTTCATCAATCGAAGATCCGTTACCCCTTCCATATAGCTGATGTCTGTTCGTGTATCTTTGTCCGTATTCACCATAATGAGAATGATATTTCCCATAATATCTATTATGTCTGTCCCATGTTATGTTCATTTGTGACATATTTTGACCCCTTCCATCAATCGAAGATCCGTTACCCCTTCCATATAGCTGATGTCTGTTCGTGTATCTTTGTCCGTATTCACCATAATGAGAATGATATTTCCCATAATATCTATTATGTCTGTCCCATGTTATGTTCATTTGTGACATATTTTGACCCCTTCCATCAATCGAAGATCCGTTACCCCTACCATATAGCTCATGTCTGTGCGTGTTTCTTTGTCCGTATTCATCATGACGAGAATGAGATCCGTTGGCGTTCAAGGTTATAGGCTGTGGTGCAAGACTTCCACCATTAGATCCACTGGTGTTCACAGTGATATAGATTTTTTGAGTGTTTTCACCTTGCAGACCACTTAAAGATCCATTTCTCCATCCAACTAGCGTAGGTGCGTGTGGATATTTTTGTTGATGTTGATCGTGACGAGAATGAGATCCACTGGCGTTCACAGTGATATAGATTTTTTGAGTGTTTTCACCTTGCAGACCACTTAAAGATCCATTTCTCCATCCAACTAGCGTAGGTGCGTGTGGATATTTTTTGTTGATGTTGATCGTGACGAGAATGAGATCCACTGGCGTTCACAGTGATATAGATTTTTTGAGTGTTTTCACCTTGCAGACCACTTAAAGATCCATTTCTCCATCCAACTAGCGTAGGTGCGTGTGGATATTTTTGTTGATGTTGATCGTGACGAGAATGAGATCCACTGGCGTTCACAGTGATATAGATTTTTTGAGTGTTTTCACCTTGCAGACCACTTAAAGATCCATTTCTCCATCCAACTAGCGTAGGTGCGTGTGGATATTTTTGTTGATGTTGATCGTGACGAGAATGAGATCCACTGGCGTTCACAGTGATATAGATTTTTTGAGTGTTTTCACCTTGCAGACCACTTAAAGATCCATTTCTCCATCCAACTAGCGTAGGTGCGTGTGGATATTTTTGTTGATGTTGATCGTGACGAGAATGAGATCCACTGGCGTTCACAGTGATATAGATTTTTTGAGTGTTTTCACCTTGCAGACCACTTAAAGATCCATTTCTCCATCCAACTAGCGTAGGTGCGTGTGGATATTTTTGTTGATGTTGATCGTGACGAGAATGAGATCCACTGGCGTTCACAGTGATATAGATTTTTTGAGTGTTTTCACCTTGCAGACCACTTAAAGATCCATTTCTCCATCCAACTAGCGTAGGTGCGTGTGGATATTTTTGTTGATGTTGATCGTGACGAGAATGAGATCCACTGGCGTTCACAGTGATATAGATTTTTTGAGTGTTTTCACCTTGCAGACCACTTAAAGATCCATTTCTCCATCCAACTAGCGTAGGTGCGTGTGGATATTTTTGTTGATGTTGATCGTGACGAGAATGAGATCCACTGGCGTTCACAGTGATATAGATTTTTTGAGTGTTTTCACCTTGCAGACCACTTAAAGATCCATTTCTCCATCCAACTAGCGTAGGTGCGTGTGGATATTTTTGTTGATGTTGATCGTGACGAGAATGAGATCCACTGGCGTTCACAGTGATATAGATTTTTTGAGTGTTTTCACCTTGCAGACCACTTAAAGATCCATTTCTCCATCCAACTAGCGTAGGTGCGTGTGGATATTTTTGTTGATGTTGATCGTGACGAGAATGAGATCCACTGGCGTTCACAGTGATATAGATTTTTTGAGTGTTTTCACCTTGCAGACCACTTAAAGATCCATTTCTCCATCCAACTAGCGTAGGTGCGTGTGGATATTTTTGTTGATGTTGATCGTGACGAGAATGAGATCCACTGGCGTTCACAGTGATATAGATTTTTTGAGTGTTTTCACCTTGCAGACCACTTAAAGATCCATTTCTCCATCCAACTAGCGTAGGTGCGTGTGGATATTTTTGTTGATGTTGATCGTGACGAGAATGAGATCCACTGGCGTTCACAGTGATATAGATTTTTTGAGTGTTTTCACCTTGCAGACCACTTAAAGATCCATTTCTCCATCCAACTAGCGTAGGTGCGTGTGGATATTTTTGTTGATGTTGATCGTGACGAGAATGAGATCCACTGGCGTTCACAGTGATATAGATTTTTTGAGTGTTTTCACCTTGCAGACCACTTAAAGATCCATTTCTCCATCCAACTAGCGTAGGTGCGTGTGGATATTTTTGTTGATGTTGATCGTGACGAGAATGAGATCCACTGGCGTTCACAGTGATATAGATTTTTTGAGTGTTTTCACCTTGCAGACCACTTAAAGATCCATTTCTCCATCCAACTAGCGTAGGTGCGTGTGGATATTTTTGTTGATGTTGATCGTGACGAGAATGAGATCCACTGGCGTTCACAGTGATATAGATTTTTTGAGTGTTTTCACCTTGCAGACCACTTAAAGATCCATTTCTCCATCCAACTAGCGTAGGTGCGTGTGGATATTTTTGTTGATGTTGATCGTGACGAGAATGAGATCCACTGGCGTTCACAGTGATATAGATTTTTTGAGTGTTTTCACCTTGCAGACCACTTAAAGATCCATTTCTCCATCCAACTAGCGTAGGTGCGTGTGGATATTTTTGTTGATGTTGATCGTGACGAGAATGAGATCCACTGGCGTTCACAGTGATATAGATTTTTTGAGTGTTTTCACCTTGCAGACCACTTAAAGATCCATTTCTCCATCCAACTAGCGTAGGTGCGTGTGGATATTTTTGTTGATGTTGATCGTGACGAGAATGAGATCCACTGGCGTTCACAGTGATATAGATTTTTTGAGTGTTTTCACCTTGCAGACCACTTAAAGATCCATTTCTCCATCCAACTAGCGTAGGTGCGTGTGGATATTTTTGTTGATGTTGATCGTGACGAGAATGAGATCCACTGGCGTTCACAGTGATATAGATTTTTTGAGTGTTTTCACCTTGCAGACCACTTAAAGATCCATTTCTCCATCCAACTAGCGTAGGTGCGTGTGGATATTTTTGTTGATGTTGATCGTGACGAGAATGAGATCCACTGGCGTTCACAGTGATATAGATTTTTTGAGTGTTTTCACCTTGCAGACCACTTAAAGATCCATTTCTCCATCCAACTAGCGTAGGTGCGTGTGGATATTTTTGTTGATGTTGATCGTGACGAGAATGAGATCCACTGGCGTTCACAGTGATATAGATTTTTTGAGTGTTTTCACCTTGCAGACCACTTAAAGATCCATTTCTCCATCCAACTAGCGTAGGTGCGTGTGGATATTTTTGTTGATGTTGATCGTGACGAGAATGAGATCCACTGGCGTTCACAGTGATATAGATTTTTTGAGTGTTTTCACCTTGCAGACCACTTAAAGATCCATTTCTCCATCCAACTAGCGTAGGTGCGTGTGGATATTTTTGTTGATGTTGATCGTGACGAGAATGAGATCCACTGGCGTTCACAGTGATATAGATTTTTTGAGTGTTTTCACCTTGCAGACCACTTAAAGATCCATTTCTCCATCCAACTAGCGTAGGTGCGTGTGGATATTTTTGTTGATGTTGATCGTGACGAGAATGAGATCCACTGGCGTTCACAGTGATATAGATTTTTTGAGTGTTTTCACCTTGCAGACCACTTAAAGATCCATTTCTCCATCCAACTAGCGTAGGTGCGTGTGGATATTTTTGTTGATGTTGATCGTGACGAGAATGAGATCCACTGCCTTTCTCGGTCTCATTTGTTGGTGGACGTTTTTCTGGTTGAAAATCACTTAACGTCTTACTTTTACTTCCAGTTTTATAAGTGGTTATACGAGAACGTAATTTATCAACGCCCTGGTGATTTCGGTTCTCGCTGTTGTTTACTGTGTAATGGTTTTCTTGATGGTTTTGTCGTTCTTGACCTTTCAAAGTGTTATTTACGCTTGTAATTCTTTTCATTTGTGCGGGATATCCATTCAAATTTTTGTCCCCAAGCAATAATATTGTAATGATTATAAAGTGGAATATTAATTCAGCTACTTTCATTATTCATGATATGATTCTTTTCTTTGTTAAATTTTGTCAATTTTATTTAATTTGAAGATTGTGCTGTTTAATTACTTCCGATTTATATGTAGTTGCATAGTTTTTAATTATTTGTCATTTTACTTATACGCACTTGTTGATTTAAATATACTGTTCGCCTTGAGTTTTTATTCCTCTTCATTAATGCACTTATCTTATTTAGAGTTTCGATCGATTTCATTTTTATTGAACATTGATTGTCGAATAGTTCAATTTTCGTCTCCAAATCTTTGTGTTTATAGTTAGACGTTATTTTATTTCAACATGACAGTTGTTTAATCCCACAGAACTAATATCATTTCCAGCCACTTACATCTGCGAACACTTTACAGGATGGCATTCAGATTTTGTTCCATCTGTACGAATGACGATCTATAAACATATGCTAGTTTTCCACATTTAACGCTTTTGAAAATGATGAAATATTTATTTTTGTAAAAAACAAGACTGATAATACTGGGAATTCCCATTGTGATTATTCAAACAGCATACATAAGCGAATAGTATTGTTTTCAATTCGGTCATCATCAGGCTTTACTATACTATACATGAATATGTGAAAATGTTAAACCAATCGAGGCATTTTCTGGGTCAATAATCGCAATCAAATAGTATAATTAATTACACATAATAGATAAATGTACAAGTTGATAGTAAGAAGTCAGGTGAACTGTTAATGGTAAGATGAAGAAATCGTTCATTTTCAGACCACTATTAGAAACTTGAAATCACTGGGTGGCCATCACTTGTGACTAGCTTCGTGAGGAAATTCTCGGATTTTTAGAGAGAAGCCGTGACTAGTGGAATTCAACCCTACCGAAGAAAATAGATGAGGTTATGCAATACCTCGTATTGATTAAAGTTACACATCAACATTGCTTAATGCCGGCTCAGTGGTTTAGAGTTTAAGCGTTCGTGCGCGAGACCTAAGGTCCTGGGTACGATTCCAGCCAGTGGTGGTCGTAGATGTGCACTGCTGATGAGTTCCATACTAGGGTGAGACGACCATCTAGTGGTTCCAGGCTTCGAATGGCAGTTTGACAATGGTTCATGAACTATCTTCACAGCACTTTAATAAAAATAAAATTGTTTATCAATAGTTCAATATACGAAGTAGTGAATGAAACTTGAAAATCATATAAAAGCACTACTATAATCACGTGATGAGAAGTTTGTAATTAATTAGATATTGAAGAATATAAACGGAAAGAGGTGAAGAAATGACTGATAATAATAATAATAATAATAATAATAAAATAAGGTCGTTTATTAAGTTATATCCGGCCAAAGAAGTGACAGGGCTGTCATGAACTTATGAACACATGAATTGGGGTTGAATGTTCGAACTCCCATGGCCTCTGCTATATATAGGAGACAGGATCAAACTCTGTGGGGAAATGATGGAGGCATACGATGGGTCACTCGGAATGATTCAGTTTTATCTATTCTATGGCCACTGTCAATCAAGTTTGCTAAGACAGCTGATTATAGTTTTTATCTGTCCCTTTCCAAACCATACTCAGAGGGGTTCATTAATTTGTTGCTTAAGTTGCAAGGTAGTGTGCTATCTCCACAGGAGCATCTGAACTGATAAATAAATATTGAGGAGGCCAATTCAGATAACTTATCATTTGTTTGAGTAGACATCACTGGTCGACTAGAGAATGTCAACACAAGATTGGCTGCGTAGAATGTAGAATAAATAAATTATGACTTTATCTAATTATTTCATCACTGGATTACAATTTCGATTCCATCAGTTTATATCGATGTTAAGGATGCTAGATCCCCAAAAATCTGTGGTGGGCTAACCAGTTCTGTGGAGGTCGGTACTCGATATATCCCTTAACTTCTCATGCTGCGCGTCCAGATGACCGTTACTAGATAACACCCATCAGTGTATAAATCAGAGCGAGAGCCCCAGTGAGATGGATTAAAATGTACATATATATACTTAGGAAAATGAGTCATCGGATTATTTAGGCCGCAAGCCGTGCTCAATCATACCTGCTCATACAAACGCGATAATTATACAAACACAATGGTACAGATAATTTGTTGCTATACGAATGACTGTCAGACATGGAAAGAATGAACATCGATTAGGTGGAACTGAAAAGGAAGGCTCAGGACGGAGTAGGTTGGAGAATACTGGTCTGCGGCCTATGCCTTCATCAGGTGTAACACGCATAAGTAATTTCTTAAGTAAAGCTTAGTAATATCTTGCCATTTTCCTGACTAAAATATTTATGTCGGAGTTTTTGTTGTACAGAACAAAGTTTGAAGGGGTGGTCACTTTCAGAACTAAATATAGGGACTATTATTATATATATTCATATTGTATAATTACAAAGTAACTAGATCACTTATATATGTTACTCGTATCATGAGCTTTTGATTAACTCGATAACTCCTGTTGTATGGCCTTTGTATTACAATAACACACTTTCACGAAAACAATTAAGTTATTGTTTACTCCTTAAATGTATGTATGGCATTAAGGTTCAACATTTATACTTACATGCATCTCATATTGAAGAAACCAGCCCAAAAAAGCCGTAATACTTGTATAATAGCAATTTCGTTATCACATATACTCGTTGTGTTTTGACTCCTTTTGGAACCGTCCATGCTATGATCAGACTTATGCCACACATCTTGCATACTGACTCAGAATCTAATGATCTTACGACTTGCACATCAATATGCAATAACATAGTTTAAAGTGTTGATTGGACGGTATATGTAATCAATTAGGTGAAGTATGTTCTAAAATGGAGTTGCTTGCAAGTTCTCCATCAATACATGATGATCTTAAGCACAAAATAAATGCTTTGTCACTTTTTAAGCTACTTTTGTTTAGAATATGGTTCTCGATAGCCTTGAATACTATTAAAGTAGTATCTGTTGTTGATTTCATTGCTAGTGAAGTTACTGAGTGGATAATCTCTAGAGATGACGTTATTATCCATACCATACTCCATAAACTGCCACTTAAACTAGTTAGGTAATTGATACGCGATGCTACGAACCTTCAGGATATTACATACCAATGTATTCGCCTGAGTAAAAAGTATCAAAATCTCTCCAGTACACTCTTGTTTGAATTCGACTCATACTTGTCAACTGGGACAACTAAATGAATCTGAACGGTTAGTCGACGCAGTCACCAAGTTTGGTCTCCTATGAGACCACCAATCACGTACTTACTCGAAAACGTAACTCAAAAGATAATAATGCTCTATAAAGTGCAACATATCCTGCCGATTCATTAACATGATTTACCCGTGTGACTAACGTTTCGTCTGTCAATCAAGACCTCAATTTATCAATGACAAATGCTAACTCGTCTCGAATTCCAAACAAAACAATTGAAACCTTAGATTACCAATGTACACTAAATGTAGATGTAGATCATATGCCTTTTGACTTGAAATCTCTCAATAGTACAGCGGAAGAACATACTCAAACTGTGGTGCGAGCTACCTATAAGTAGTACATGACGTGAGTGTCAACGTAATGTCTGGCAGCAGAAGATGGGGGAAGATCAAGAAAGGAAGAGTTAGAACAGAATGGAATTTGTATGAAACGCATGAATAGTGACAATGGATTGATGTTTGCAACAGGAACAGTCCAGTTCGATATGATGGATTGATATTTTGCAAATTAACGATTTACGATATGGTTTTCCTATTTTACTGAGTAACTCTGTAATTTTCGTTTAATACAAT